CGGTATACGGATACTGTAAGTCGTTACGTGCGCGGAAACTTTCAGACCGGCGGTCAGGTTCAGGTGTGTCTCATCTTTCAGAAACCCACCCTTTATCCTACCGCGTGCGACTTAGTCCATCTCAAACAAGACATATTACCTTCGTGACCTGTGTGCGCTAAAGACGTCTGAGAAACCCCATGTGTTATAGCGATGTGTAAACAACAAGCTTCTCATTTCTCGTTTCATTTCAAATTTACAATTTACGAGGTTAACATTTTAAATCGAGATAATATCTCACAACACGGATATTTGTAATAAAAATTCAGAAGAAACTTAACTTTCGTCGCGATCGTACGTTTCTCATCTCTCATCTATGTTTCGGTAAAGTCGCTATGATCCTTAAATCATTTTCGCGGCGACAAATCGATCTTCGTTTTGACGACGACAAATCTATTTCGCGAGCGGCGAGCGTAGATCTTTACTTTTAGCCGCGAGGCAGTGAAGCGCTCGCGTCTCTCGCGGGGGGAAAAGGAGAAAGCCGGCGGTTGCAAGTGCAAGGGGAAAAAAGTAATGCAAAAAAAGGATAGCGCGAGAGGGAAACGGGCCAAATTCGTCCGGGGAGCAAAGTTGCGCGCGAGTGTGCTGACCCTGAACTATAAATGCTGCGAGTTTCTTTCTCCTCGCTGCACATCGCATCGCATTCCCAACACACGTGCACTTGCGCGCGACATCGCTCGGAGACGTCACTCTCGTGTTGCTTTCTCATCGCTATAGGTGCCATGGGGTGAATATACAATAGCACTTTACATTTTCATCGGCACTAAGCATTTATATGTTTCGGGATAAATGTCACGTTAAAAGCCACATTTTCATCATCACTATTAAATTTAATCGGAGCAATGGATTTAGAACAGACAGAAAGGAAAAGGGATTTTAGTAGAGCTTTCGTAGAGGATGAGATAAATCGGACAAGAAGATACGTAGCTCCAAAGAAAGGAAAGGGAAGATCTTCCTCGGTGGAGTTCAGAGTCCGCAATCTTCATCTAACTTCGTGAGAAAAAAATCCCACATCCATGGCGGCGTCGTCGTCTGTCGGTTTGATGATGACTCGCATCGGTAACTCGCGCGATCATCAGGGAATGTTGGAGGCTGGCCAAGACGAGGCGCCAACATATTCCCGTTCTGTCTAACGGTCCTTTGGCCAAGCGCGACGGTGTTGCAGCGTTATACCCTCGGCCTCCCTTCGCGCGATCACCTCACGAGAGAACACCGGAATTCTGCCTGCTCGAAAGGAATCTCACTGCGAGGAGAAGCGCGCCATTCCTTCTTACATTAATTCGATTCATCTAAGCGCATCGAACGATCGTTCCAGCGTTCTCAATTATTCTCAATTAAACTTTACAAATCGATAATAATTTTATAATGAAATTTGAAACTTTGAATTTTATAATAAATTATCATTTATTTAAAATTTTCCGAAATATCTCGACGTGGAAAATCCGTTATTAAAAAATGGAGATATACCGAAACGTATATTCTGGAACATCTTACACTCCGTTAAAGGGCTCGATGCCTCGAGGCTGAACTTTCTACAAACTCAGCTCATATCCATGTAGTACCTAGTTACGAAACAGTTCCGTTTATAAATGATGTTGTAATCTACCTGCCGTGCGTGCATCGACTATCGACAGAGACGTTCAAATACGAAGCGATTAAGTATCGCGGGCGATAAGGCGAACGACAGGGTCGGGGAAATATATCGGGGAATATCGAAGTTAACGTGTTCATTATTGAGTGAATTTTATCGACCGTTTTCCACAGGGCAACCGTGGAAAAAGTTATTGCACGCGAGTAGTTTTATTGCACGAGTACACGCGCGTCTGTCTATGCCTTCAATTTAAACTTTATGGCAGTCACCTGCCTATAGTCATTTTGTTCGCCGGCGCTTTGGTCCCGTGATTGTACGGTGAAACGCGATTAATGGCAGACGCGTTCTTAATTAAGGAACTCCTTAATTAATTAGCTACCGCGTGGCAACGCTGCTAACGAGTACCCGTGGCACATGATAGAACGACGATAACAGTCGACACACAGGCACCGTGATTTTCCGACCGATAATTTTTATTTTGAAAAATATTTGGCTGATAATTGGGGAAGAATCACCGGAGAAGAATCGCACGAACAGTTTTGATTATCATTGATGAAATTTCTAGTTTAAAAATTTCCAATTTAAAGGAAAGGCTTTATTTATTAAAGAAATCTGTAGAATCATTAGAATGTTATATTATTTCAAAAAATAAATCTTAAAAGTAAATTAGCTAAAACGATTTCATGAATAATTTATGATATAATTAACATATCGTCTACTTTTATCTTTCCTTTTTAGGAATTAAATCAATTTCTTGATTTATAGTAATGTATATATATATATATATATATATATATATATATATATTATTATTTGTATATATA